CATTATCAATGAGTTGCTGCGGACTGAAATGTGATGAGATACTGTCTTTCTGGGGAAAGACATTCAATAGCTCGGCGGCTCGACGTCCAAGACATTCAGTGATCACTTTTGGAACCACTTTGTAGGGCAATCGTGCAAGAGCTACTCTGACTCTTTCTTTCAACGTTCTATTGTTTCGCTCAGCGGTAGGCTCGTGGTCTACATGGAACGAAACGCGGTTGACTGGATTGAATGAGTGAAGTAGCTCAGCCAATCAGAAATCTTGCAAGCTATACACTTTTTAAACTTGTGTCGGCAAGTTCTCCAAAAAACTAATTAAATCACTCCTCCAACATAGAATCGTTCTCAATCCATGGTACAATAATTGAACACAGGGGAACCGCAGATGAAGCAAATATTACTAGTGCTACTACTACAATATATCAATCATTTGATACTGCATCTAGCATTTTAATTCTCCCCAGCACCTTTAGGCACCATAGATCGTGAGGTGGTCTCCCGGCCACTGGACCGGACTTGGACTGCTCAAGGTATCCTGCAAATCTTGGGCAATTGAAAGGGTTTCGGAAAGCATCTGGACTTGCAAACAGTCCGGCTATGTGGTGCGGATTGATTCGTGAAAAAGGCACATGGATTCGGAGTCAAGGCAAATTGATTCAGAGTCAAAAAACCACTGGTCGTTGAAGCATGTATAGGATTGAAAGTTGGATTGTTTGGAAGCCATTGCAATAGTGTGCTGTGATCTGCTGCTTGTTGCTGCATATGCTGCTGAGGTAAAGGCCGTGCTGCTGCAGCTGATTGATTGACCGCTCTGGCAATACCACTCCTCCTCCTGGCAACACTTGTTGTTTGAGGCGATTCATACTTGTCCTTGCAGTTGTCGCAAAGACAAACCTTAGTTGAAGCAACAGTTCCCTCTTGTTTGTTTCTTTCTATTTGGTTGGTGCAGTAATCGGAAAAGAAAACTTCCTTCTCGTTTCCAACCTCTGGAACTTGACACTCTTTGAACAAGGCACCAAAACCAAGCAATGTAGATTGTTGGTTCAAATGGTCTAGTAGGGAATGGTCCATGAAAATGGGCGTTTGGTCCATGTATTCTGGATGCGGTAATCTAGAACCTTATTGGCGTTGCACCATGCAGTCATATCTCCACCCCGCACCGACGTTGTGCTCAGCCGTACCTTGGGCAATGAGAGCATTTGCGAACTCCGATTTGCAAACCAATATTTGCAAAATGGGCCAACAGTTCATGAAACTTCTCCAATCTTGACTCAGCTCTTGAGCTTCTCCATTTGGTCAGCCCATGCTCGGCACTTGATTTCACTCCACGGTAGGTGGCTGCACCTTCATGATCCAATACGTATGGAACCTTTGAAAACTGTTCTCTTGTTGTGTCCTCTGTCTTGTATGTGAAAACCTTTTGATCGCTATCGTCACTGACATCTATCCATGCTTTCAGCCAGTCATTTAAATTTTCAATGATCTTTTCTGCCAAATGGAACTCCTTTCTTAACCACTTGTCATAACGCTGTTTGAAGACCTTGGAAAAGCGCATATCGGTGAGCTCGTCCACTGACAACTTTTCTCCGAGCAAACCATTGGTCACGGCCCCAACAAGTGCTGCCCAATCATTTTTGTTGTAGTTGTAAATACAATCTTTCAACTGCACAAGACACGGCCAGAAATGTTCACTTTTTGAATCAAGGGTGTCAACCATACGGCCCAAAAAGTGAAACAGCCCAAGGCTGCACTTGACTCCCTTCCCAAGAGTTGCATCCCAAAATTGGACTCCATGCGGTATGGTGTCGGTTGTCAGTACGGATACATCTTCAATTGAGGCGCTGCTTGTGTCAACCCATGGGATACATTGCTCAACTTCGTTGTTGGAACAGCGTAGATGCCACCAATTTCACCAATTCTTCCATTGTTGAAATCAGCGAAGCATTTCTTGCCCATGGATTTCTTGTCTCTATATGCCCTTGTCGCGGCAAAGGTGTGATCGAAAGCTGCTGTATCACCGCGTTCAAATCTAACAGACCAAATCTCTTGAGTGTAGCGCAAGACATTAGAATAACTGTAGGGTTGCAGTGAAGAATATACTGCCTGTTGGTAGAGCCGCCAAATATTGTCGCCATTAGGCGGCCACTTGTTATTCATGTAACTGTAGAAGTCTGGAAAAGGTTGGCTTGGCTTCTGGCTCAAATAAGTTCTCAAGACTGCACTGCTTGCCATTTGCATAGGTCTTGAGGATGTGCTAAAAAAAAGCAATTCCATTTTTGTGGAGGTGAAATCCGCCTTCACTTGTGGCATACCTTGGTGGAACAGGGTAGGCTGCAGCAACATGAGCTGGCACCATTTGTAGCAGTCAACCTTTGTTTGCATCAACTACTAGCTCCTTGCAAGAAAGACATATATTTCATGATAACCGCCCATGTAATGGCGCCATCATGTCTCCAAATTGGAAATAGACTTCCTGGATTCTTTTTGAAGTTCCTTTGAGTATGGACCAAAGAACCGCGGGAGCACTTTGGAAATGGCAAACGGAGGTTCGAAAAAGCAAGCTGCCAGTCAACATGTAGGATTTCGTCCCCTGAAAGGCAATGATAGATCGGGCTTTGACTGTAGCTTGTGTCTTGTGGAAATATAAAGGATGTACTCCCAATGCATTGTCTGCTGTCATTGCAGTACAAAAACCTTTAGTTTGCGGAAGGACACAGTCAGCAGACTGGAGGCGACGGTGTTCAAAATGAGAAAGAATGAGATCAGTTGCAATAATCATTCTTGGTGGTGCTTGTTGACTCAAGGCCCAAGATGGCTTTTGGTTGTGCTCCAACTCATCCATCCTTTCATCAATGCTCCGCTTCATATCCAATACAAAGTCGCTGTCAATACCCATTGAATTAAGATGTTGTGTATTGTAGCCCACACTTCCAGCAATAACGTTGATTGGTGGCGCTTTCTTTTTCCTCTGAGGTGCAGCAGTTGCAGCAGCTGCACAACAAACATTTGTTGTGTAATCGAACATAGTGTTGGATTGCGGCGTTGCTTTATTCTTCTTGTTTTTGGTCCTTTCCCCACAGTGATCATGGTGCCCTCCATGATATTTTTCTAAAACCGCTGATCCAAATTGGGTGATACGGCATCGTTTGCAATGGAATGTAGGAAGAAAAGGAAGGCTCCCTCCAACTTGCACTTGCAAAAGTTGCTGCTTTGGGCGCTTGATCTTGGTGCCTCTTTTCTTTGCGGCTTCGATACTGCCATTGCAGTTTTGCGATTGGATTCCCATATCGGTGTATGGAGGAAAATATCCAACAAACCTTCCAACTTGCTGTGCCAACAATTGCTGTTGACGTTGCTGATGTTGTTCTTGTTGAAGTCCTTTTCAATGCTGAGTTTCCAGCATTCGAACCCCAAATCAGCAGTGTTCTGTGCCAGCTATCGGTTTGCTGCTGCCATGATATTTTCGGCTCCTTCTGGTAGAATTTTGGAAGGCATGTTGGAATCTTTGATGATACGCAATTTTCCAGGGCTTGAAGGTGAAATGTAGAGATGCCATCAATTGGGACCTATGAGACATTGAGAAAGACGTATGTTGTGTAAACGATGGCTAATTTATTAGAGCATGTGGCATGGCATGTGCAAAAGAAAGACCCATTTGGACCAATCAGATCAATCAAACAAGAGCCTATCGGCCAAAACCCCCTAAGTTTCTCTGGACCGTGTGTGGCAATAACGTGCATTTCAAGATTCTCCGATCATCGAAATTTCGTGTTTCCGCTTGGAAAATACGAATGTTATAGCATGACCCGTTTGTCCAGACGGACACACGAAAAAAAAGGTACTTTTAGGGAACTTCCCGGGGATTTTAAGGGAACTTCCTGGGTACTTTTAGGGAATTTCCCGGGTACTTATAGGGAACTTTCAGGGACTTTAGGGAACTTTTAGGGAATTTTTAGGGAACTTTCAGGGAACTTTTAGGGAACTTTCAGGGAAACTTTTAGGGAACTTTCAGGGAAACTTTTAGGGAACTTTCAGAGAACTTTTGCGAAACAATATTCCCTCAAAAGACAAACTATACAAATAAAAGAGAATTGCACTATAGTAGATGACGCTATTCAAAGGACGGCCATTCTCACTATCGTATTGAATCAAAACGAGAAAGTCAGTGTAAACGGCTTCATGCTTGTCCATATGGTGTCAAAACGTTTCAATCTCGTTGAAGTTCTCCTGCCGCCAAGTTCTAGCCCAAATCTTGAACTCGAGAGCTTTGGGGCTTTCGGTTACTTGAATAATAGATGTGACCATCCAGTGACCGAAGACAAAGACCTTGTTCTAAACAAGACTTTTTGGCCAAATGTACGCCATTGCCCATCTGCTAGTAGACATGGTTTGGGTCCATGTGTTCAGTGATGTCTCTCCAGCACTGTCCTTGATAGGTTTCTTGGGCTTTTTTTTGCATCGCTGGATCTCCAATTCTTGCACTACTATTGTCAAGCATTATCAGTCGCTCCAGTATTCATTGTAGGCTATCGACAGTGAAGAGTGCCCTTGTTGATAGAATTGGATTGTCCAAAACCGATGCCAATGACATAATAATAATCCACAATTTCTTTGCAAGATGGGAAAGCAGGGATAGCATTTGGGGAGTTTCAATTATTCTCCCAAAAGGTCCGTAAAAAATTCTCTCAAGGTTACCTAAAAGTTCCCTGAAAGTTCCCTAAAAATTCCCTTTTTTTCCCCGGGATTTCCAGGATATCCCCGTCTAGGTATACTTTGAGTGAAATTGTTCCTATTTGATTAATATTTGGCTTGAATTGATGATTCAATCACAAAAGTAAGTTCAAGAAAATCCCTTGTTTACAGAACTTGATTCAACCTCTACGACAATTCTGTGTTGAATGCAGTACTTTGGGACATCTTGTATTATTCCCTACTGCATTGTACACAACATCGATATAGGGTCATTCCCTTTTTGTGTGGATGTAGATTGTCCGACGGACTTGCGTCCGGCATACTTGCGTCGAATTCCGACATCACAATCAAAGTCCGATTGTACGTGTCGAAAACTTTGTACTTGAATGGTTTCTTTTTGGAACGTAAAAACTCATATTTCGTCATATCCCAACACAGATTAGTTGCTGTACTTTTGATATCTAATTTCTTGTTGAATCTGCTCTCTGAATTTTCGTTTTTTGAATGGGTGGGATTCTAGGTCTCCACAGTCCCACGTAGACAACTTTGCTCAGATCAGAATACTGTGAGGTTGTAGTGGTTTGTCCGAGTCGATGTCCTAAAGCTATTTTGAAAGGTCTAACACTATTTGATGAAGTTCCA